TTGGCCCATGGTGAGGCATCACTTGGATATTTGGCCCATGGTGAGGCATCACTTGGATATTTGGCCCATGGTGAGGCATCACTTGGATATTTGGCCCATGGTGAGGCATCACTTGGATATTTGGCCCATGGTGAGGCATCACTTGGATATTTGGCCCATGGTGAGGCATCACTTGGATATTTGATCATGGTGAGGCATCACTTGGATATTTGATCATGGTGAGGCATCACTTGGATATTTGATCATGGTGAGGCATCACTTGGATATTTGATCATGGTGAGGCATCACTTGGATATTTGATCCATGGTGAGGCATCACTTGGATATTTGGCCAATGGTGAGGCATCACTTGGATATTTGATCTTGGTGAGGCACCACTTGGATATTTGGCCCATGGTGAGGCATCACTTGGATATTTGGCCCATGGTGAGGCATCACTTGGATATTTGGCCCATGGTGAGGCATCACTTGGATTTGGCCCATGGTGAGGCATCACTTGGATATTTGGCCCATGGTGAGGCATCACTTGGATATTTGGCCCATGGTGAGGCATCACTTGGATATTTGGCCCATGGTGAGGCATCACTTGGATATTTGATCATGGTGAGGCATCACTTGGATATTTGGCCCATGGTGAGGCATCACTTGGATATTTGATCATGGTGAGGCATCACTTGGATATTTGATCATGGTGAGGCATCACTTGGATATTTGGCCCATGGTGAGGCATCACTTGGATATTTGATCATGGTGAGGCATCACTTGGATATTTGCCCATGGTGAGGCATCACTTGGATATTTGATCATGGTGAGGCATCACTTGGATATTTGATCATGGTGAGGCATCACTTGGATATTTGATCATGGTGAGGCATCACTTGGATATTTGATCATGGTGAGGCATCACTTGGATATTTGATCATGGTGAGGCATCACTTGGATATTTGGCCCATGGTGAGGCATCACTTGGATATTTGGCCCATGGTGAGGCATCACTTGGATATTGGCCATGGTGAGGCATCACATGGTGAGGCATCACTTGGATATTTGGCCCATGGTGAGGCATCACTTGGATATTTGGCATCACATGGTGAGGCATCGGGGAGTGAGAGGTGGAGCGGGTGAGAGGTGGGGGGGGGGTGAGAGGTGGGGGGTGAGAGGTGGAGCGGGTGAGAGGTGGAGGGGGTGAGAGGTGGAGGTGGGGGGGTGAGAGGTGGGGGGGTGAGAGGTGAAGGGGGTGAGAGAGGTGGAGGTGGGGGGGGGTGAGAGGTGGGGGGTGAGAGGTGGGGGGGGGGGTGAGAGGTGGGGGGGGTGAGAGGTGGGGGGGTGAGAGGTGGAGGGGGTGGGGGGGTGGAGATGGGGGGGTGGAGGGGGGCGGGGAGAGGTGGGGTGGGGGGTGAGAGGTGAGGGGGGTGAGAGGTGAAGGGGGGAGAGGTGAGAGGTGGAGGGGGGTGAGAGGTGGAGGGGGGTGAGAGGGGGGGGGGGGCGGTGAGAGAGGGGGGTGAGAGGTGGGGGGGGTGAGAGGTGAGGGGGGTGAGAGGTGGAGGGGGGTGAGAGGTGAGAGGTAGGGGGGTGAGGTGGAGGTGGGGGTGGAGGTGGGGGGTGAGAGGGGGGGGTGAGAGGTGGAGGTGAGAGGTAGGGGGGTGAGAGGTGGGGGGGGAGAGGTGAGAGGTGGGGGGGGTGGAGGTGGGGCGGTGAGAGGTGGAGGTGGGGGGGTGAGAGGTGGAGGTGGGGGTGAGAGGTGGGGGTGAGAGGTGGAGGGGGGGGGGTGAGAGGTGGAGGTGGGGTGAGAGGTGAGGGGGAGCGGTGAGAGGTGGGGGGGGTGAGAGGTGGGGGGGTTAGAGGTGGACGGGGGGTGAGAGGTGGGGGGGTGAGAGGTGGAGGGGGGGGTGAGAGAGGGGGGGTGGGGGGGTGAGAGGTGGAGGTAAGGGGGTGAGAGGTGGAGGGGGGGGTGAGAGGTGGGGTAGTGAGAGGTGGAGGGGGGGTGAGAGGTGGGGGGGGGGGGTGAGAGGTGGAGGGGGTGAGAGGTGGAGCGGGTGAGAGGTGGAGCGGGACGTGAGAGGTGGAGCGGGTGAGAGGTGGAGGTGGGGGGGGGGTGAGAGGTGGAGGTGGGGGGGGTGAGAGGTGAAGGGGGTGAGAGGTGGAGGGGGGGGGTTGAGAGGGTGGCGGGGGGGTGAGAGGTGGGGGGGTGAGAGGTGGGGGAGTGAGAGGTGGGGGAGTGAGAGGTGGAGGGGTGAGAGGTGGAGGTGGGTGAGAGGTGGAGGTGGGGGGGGTGAGAGGTGGGGGGGGGGGTGAGAGGTGGAGGGGGGGTTGAGAGGTGGAGGGGGGGGTTGAGAGGTGGAGGGGGGGTGAGAGGAGGGGGGGTGAGAGGTGGGGGGGGTGAAAGGTGGAGCGGGTGAGAGGTGGAGCGGGTGAGAGGTGGAGGTGAGGGGGTGAGAGGTGGAGGGGGATGAGAGGTGGGGGGGTGAGTGGTGGGGGTGAGAGGTGGAGGGGTGAGTGGTGGGGGTGAGAGGTGGAGGGGGGTGAGGGTGGGGAGGGGTGAGAGGTGGACGGTGGTGGGGGGGGGGTGATAGGTGGAGGGGGGGGGGTGATAGGTGGAGGGGGGGGGTTAGAGGTGGAGGGGGGGTTAGAGGTAGAGGGGGTGAGAGGTGGAGGGGGGTGAGAGGTGGAGGGGGGGGGTGAGAGGTGGGGGGATGAAAGGTGGAGGGGGTGAGAGGTGGAGGGGGTGAGAGGTGGAGGGGGAGAGGTGGAGGGGGTGAGAGGTGGAGGGGGTGAGAGGTGGGGGGGGTGAGAGGTGGGGGGGGAGTGAGAGGTGGAGCGGGTGAGAGGTGAGGGGGAGTGAGAGGTGGGGGGTGAGAAGTGGAGTTGGTGAGAGGTGTGGGGGCGAGAGGTGGAGGTGTGGGGGTGAGAGGTGGAGGTGGGGGGGGTGAGAGGTGGGGGGGGGGTGAGACGTGGGGTGGGGGGGGGGGGGTGAGAGGTGGAGGGGGGTGAGAGGTGGAGGGGAGTGAGAGGTGGGGGAGGGGTGAGAGGTGGGGGAGGGGTGAGAGGTGGGGGAGGGGTGAGAGGTGGGGGAGGGGTGAGAGGTGGAGGGGGTTGAGAGGTGGAGGGGGTGAGAGGTGGGGGGGGGTGAGAGGTGGAGAGGGGTGAGAGGTGGGGTGGTGAGAGGTGGGGGGGTGAGAGGTGAGGGTGGTGAGAGGTGGAGGTGGGGGGGGGTGAGAGGTCGAGGTGGGGGGGTGAGAGGTGGAGGCGGGGGTGTGAGGAGGTGGGGGGGGGGGGGTGAGAGGTGGAGGTGGGGGGGTGAGAGGTGGAGGGGGGGGAGACGTGGAGGTGGGGGGGGGGGTGAGAGGTGAAGGGGGTGAGAGGTGGAGGGCGGGGGTGAGAGGTGGATGGGGATGTGAGAGGTGGAGGGGGGGTGAGAGGTGGAGGTGGGGGGTGAGAGGTGGAGGGGGGGGGGTTAGAGGTGGAGGGGGGGGTGAGAGGTGGAGGTGGGGGGTGAGAGGTGGGGGGGGGGTGAGAGGTGGGGGGGGAGTGAGAGGGGGAGGGGGAGTGAGAGGTGGAGGGGGAGTGAGAGGTGGAGGGGGGTGAGAGGTGGAGGGGGGGTGAGAGGTGGAGGGGGGGTGAGAGGTGGAGGGGGGTGAGAGGTGGAGGGGGGTGAGAGGTGGAGGGGTGAGAGGTGGAGGGGGGGGGGTGAGAGGAGGGGGGAGTGAGAGGTGGAGCGGGCGGGTGAGAGGTGGAGGTGGGTGAGAGGTGGAGGTGGGTGAGAGGTGGAGGTGGGGGGGGGTGAGAGGTGGAGGTGGGTGAGAGGTGTGAGAGGTGGGTGGGGGGGTGAGAGGTGGAGGTGGGGGGGTGAGAGGTGAAGGGGGGGGTTGAGAGGTGGAGGGGGGTGAGAGGTGAGGGGGGGTGAGAGGTGAGGGGGGTGAGAGGTGGGGGGTGAGAGGTGGGGGAGTGAGAGGTGGGGGAGTGAGAGGTGGAGCGGGTGAGAGGTGGAGGGGGGGGGGGGGTGAGAGTGGAGGGGGGGGGGGGTGAGAAGTGGAGGGGGGGGGGGGTGAGAAGTGGAGGGGGGGGGGGGGTGAGAGGTGGAGGTGGGGGGGTGAGAGGTGGAGGTGGGGGGTGAGAGGTGGAGGGGTGAGAGGTGAATGGGGGGGTGAGAGGTGGAGGGGGGTGAGAGGTGGGGGAGGGGTGAGAGGTGGTGGGGGGGGTGAGTGGTGGAGGGGGGTGAGAGGTGGGGGGTGCGAGAGGTGGGGGGTGCGAGAGGTGGAGGGGGGCGAGAGGTGGAGGGGGGCGAGAGGTGGAGGGGGGTGAGAGGTGGAGGGGGGGGTGAGAGGTGGAGGGGGCGAGGGTGGAGGATGAGAGAAGATATAGGATCGAGGTCCTCATGTGTAGAGATGAGTAAGGTCTTGAAACTATTACATTGGACCAGAACCCAAAACCATAAGTATAATTTGAGGACGTTCATATTCGAGAGGGATACGTGAAGGTATTGGTTTGGCAGGACGGTGGTAGACATGTGGGATAAGTTATCGTATATCATCATTAAGGAAATGGTATAGGTAGCTTTAAAAATCAGCTGGGCAGGTAAAGGAAGAAAGGGGTGGGGTCTAGATGAGCACCTCTCAGAAAGGGCCAACAGGTCTCCCACCTCTTATGTTTTCTTTTCACTGAAGTCTAAGTAATAATAATAATAATAATCACAATAGCGTTCCAGCTTTGTAACAATCTGATCCAGCCTTGCTTATACCACAGTAGATATGAAATACATAAACTCCTTTCCCGTTCTTAAATATCCCTGCCTCTGGCCGCTTACTTGATGAACCTAACCCCGCCATCCCCCACGTCAACATCTGAGCCTCTGCTTATCACCCCTAGCCCTGATAAGTAGAATATCCCAACATCCATCCTTGTAATTTATCCTCTCAAGCTGTACGTTCTGCACACCTCAGAAACCTTTGTATGTTTCCCACTTCACGCTAATTTGCTTTTCCTGCCTGTAACATTGGTCAGCACGCCCTCCTGAAGGCCGTGGTGGCACTGGAAACCGAGTTCGACAACATAGCCAGTGACCTGCTGCGAGGAGCCCGTCTTCAGCTCATCCTGCACAGCCTTGTGACGGTAGTAATGGTCCTGGTAACATTACATGTAGTACTGGGATTAATACTTACGGTACTGGTAATACAAAGAGTAGGGGTTATGCTGACTATATTGGCCAAGCTTAACAGTAGTGCTGGTAACACTTAAGAGTAGCTGTAACAATACCAAGTCAACTGGTTATGGTTGGGGGTTTTGGTGGTCAGATTGATGACATTGACAGAAGATTGACAACATAAGTTATGACGTAATGTTAGTATCGCCTTTAAAGACATTTTTGGTACTAAGTTAACAACGACAGTTCAAATATTACTGGTGACAATGGTGTGGTAGAGACTGTACCATAGACACAGGTAAAGTGACTCTGGCACAGTCACAGCTCCAGGATGTAAGGCCATGGACAACAATAATTGAGGTTGTCGTAATGAGACAGATATTAGGCATAGCATGTTTAATGTAACATAGTGTTTAACATATTTCTGATTAGAATCCTATGTCAAAAATGTTTGAACAGAAGTTGTTTATATTTCTTAAACTATGTGATGATGGGGTCAGATGTTGCAAGGAGGTCACTCACGATGTTTTCATATTTCTTGAAGATTTTCACTCTTGGTATTTTTTATGCACAGTAGTCAAGCTACTTATTTTCAGTAGCATAAAAGTAGAAGTAAATTATATGAAAAAATTATGGCTCAGCGCTACTTTAATATCCACTTTTAAACTCATAATTTGTAAGTTATAGTTAAAATAAAACTTGAGATAGCTTATAGAGGAATTAAGGTTACCAGAAAATTTGTTTTGCTGATTGTTTTAAATTGAGCTTCATTATAAATAGGATCAAGTACATTATTTCT